ATATATGTCTCATGTTTTTGAAACAAAAACAGCAATTTGAGAGCAAATGTGGTACTTCTAGCCTGCCAAACAATCCCAGGGAAGAGAAAAAGAATGCACAATCTCAAAAAGGGGGGAAAAACTTCAAAAAGAGCATGCAAATAAAACAAAGTAACTTAGCCCCCCCCCCCCCCCCAAAAAAAAAAAAAAAACATTTATATCCATTAAAATGATAGATGCTACAATTATGAAACCTTCCATTCTTTTCTTGGCAGTTTATTCACAATAAAATGTTGATTTTCTCTTATAAAATCTTAAAACTTATAAGTTTATGAATCCTCATCCCCGGGATGTTAATTCACAGCTCTAAGGAGCATGGTATACACCCATTTTAAAGGCCATTTGTACTCGAAACACCTAATCTGCAACCCTTTTTTTTCAATGCTGCATTTACATTGGCTTATCCTTGAGCACCAGCCTTGCTTCTACAATTAGTGGACATAAAAATGTTGCTCCATTGATAGAGGACCAAGTTCATCTCACTTATTCTAGAAACTCAAAGACTTAGAAAACATATTTTTCTTTCTGTTTTAGATCATATGGTTTAGAATTTTGGTCATCTTTTATGTGTGTGAGAATGAGCACAAGAAATATATAGGCTTCTAGGTGTTCCTGAATATTACTACCTTTGTTTGGATGGAATCCTCTGAAATTTTTTTCTTACTTTAGAAAAAAAACTAAAACATAATTATAAAAGCTACTAAATTATCGATGATATTGATGTCGAAATCCCAGATGACATTAGATTTATACAACAAATAGTCACAAAAGCAAATGTTTGATCCAACATATCGACACATACTGAATTTATCAAACATATCAAATGAACAACAGATTGAACTGAATCAAAGGTAGCGTGTTCAACCATATGATATAAAAAGCTCTGAATCAAAACCCTAAATAAATTAAAATTAGAGATTAAAGAGTGAGAAATTCCAATAAAATATTTCAATATATAGAACAAGATAAATAAAAGCACACACATGATTAGGTTACAATTTTTACCGAAATAGATAGCAACGAAACAAAACGTATCCAAATGTTGAAAGCAAAATTGGGCAATGACTAGTGGTGATTTGGAAAAAAAACACACACGAATGAAACATGCCTCCACATCCTCTGATCAGCACTATCCTACTCCAGTTGTGTTCATTGCAATTGCTGCAGTGGTATAAAGGGAAACTGAAGCATTCACTTTTAACTTCACATTGATTTTTAGAATTTGTAGGGCCTAACCGATTTTGCATGTCAAACACAAATTCAATTAGATAATTAAATTTGGAAATCAAAAGGTTTGGAGATATCTGTAGCATAATAAATACGGATAAATTAGATGTAATGGTAATGAACAATATTTATAGTATATTTATTTAGGTTCATGATAGTTTGGATATTTAAGAAATACTATAGGGTAAAAATGTCAATTAATTTTTTTTTCAAGATGTGTACATATAGAAGTAGTATAAATAGATTTTGTGGTTTAGCTTATTGGTTCCTTTTTAACCTTTTCAAAATAATTGTATTTGTTTAATTGGATAAATTATTGTAAGAAGATGTCTCACTCACGTCTTTGCCACAACCTCATCTAGGATTAATGACTAGTTTAAGTCTTATCATGATAAATAACCTTCTCCCTATATCTTTTATGGCAATCCTCCCACTGAATTGATAATGTATAATGTGGTTACGTTAAACCTGAAGGATTAATGTTTCCTACATGCTTTTTAGACACACCTCATGATTCATTGTTTCATCATTTTCATGAACAAAGATCCCAAAAAAGAGCAATACCCAAGGTTTCTCCCCTTATTTTCTATTGCTATTATAATCTCACATGTTTTTTATCATGGTTTTCTTGAATTTTCTTAGGTTCTGTGACGCTTATGCACAACCAATTTATTCGTTTTCATGCTAATGGGTATGGATCTAATCTTTGTTTTGTACGTGGATGTTCTTGAATCTTAACTTTAAGTGGTGTTATGATCCATCTCTCCTCTTTCTATATATCTCCCGATCTTTATTTTTTTATGGTTTCAATTATGTTTTAGGTAATGGCTTCGATCAAGAACCAGATTTGCAGTTTTATGTGTTACGTGTTAGGGATGCAGGTGGCTGTGAATGGAACCGTGGAGGCTAAGGAGGTGCAAAAGCAAGGGAATGAGACTATCATTGTCTTCTTTTTTTGGGTAAGTTTTATCTTATGTCATTGTTGTTATTCGAGTTTGTGCTTTCCATAATAATCATTATACCTTGATAATTGTATATTTCTCAAACTCAATGGAGAGCAAAGGAGGGCGTAGCTGGCAATGTTGAAGCTCTCCAAGCCCTTCAAGAACTCATCACCTTTCATCTTTTCTATTCTCGCGAGGCTTAACTGCTTGGACTTAAGGTAATATTATATAAAAACTCTGTCTTTCTACCTACACAAATAGTTTAATTTGATAAATATTAGTTCCTGTTAATTTCAATATGTTTTTGTTTGGAATTTTTGCAATTGTTATATTTTTTAATTTCTTCAGTGGGCTCGCAGTTTGTTGTTCCATGGCCCCCTAGCACTGGTAAGGTATACAATTCACACACACTGAACACTAATGTCTTAAGGTATCGTTACTATATGTGATACCTAAAGTCATTAGATTCCTTACTATTCTATTTTTAAATGTCTTTTAATTGTTTTTTTTGTCTAAATTCTATTTAGTAAGATTAGTTTACTTGATCTCATGTATTGATTATTAGTCACAAATCCGTACGATGCAAAGGATAGTTAGTAGAGGGACAGTTACACATACAACTTGGTAGAATATGATATGATGAAATGTTACATTTGTATTAAATAAATCAAAATTTCAAAAAAATTAAATAAATCACAAATTTATAAATTAAGAAAACTGAGAAGAAAGACTATCTAAGTCCTCACTTCCAAAAGCATGGATATTATATATTGATAGGAGATGACGTATTTTGCTTCCATTGTGGATTGATATCATACTTGCCTATGCAATGCATGGGGTCCTACTAATTTCTATTATAAGTTGTTATTTTCTTAATGATTTTACTATGTTATGAATTTTGTATACACGTATATAAAATTGAGATCACTATTAATACCACATTCTTTACTTCTAAAGTTATATATGTTTATTTCAAAAAAATTGAGACCTACTTTTCTTATATTTCTAAACCTTGTTTAGGTTTGGAAACTGCTGAGCTAGTTGTGTTCGCACCAATAATTAACATTTTTTAAATTTTGATGTTGAGATTGATATCATCATATAGGACTGATAATTAAGCCGAGCTATTCGGGTTCGGCTCAGATAAGAATCGACTCGAGCTCGACTCATGTTCTAAACAAGCCGAACTTTAACAATTTTTAAAAAGCTCGGCTTAAGCTCTCAAAATTCGACTCGTTTGTATGTAAAATAATCGAACTATTCAGGCTCGGCTTATTTTTATTTCGGCTCGGCTCAGCTCATTTTCTAAATAAACAAAGTTTGAACAATTTGTAGGTTTGTTTAAAAAAAACATGCTCAATAGGCTCTCACAAAGCTCGACTTGATTATCAATCTTACCAACATAGGTGAGCATGTGGGGTAATGCATATGAATTTTGGTTTAGTTTGAGAGGAAACATTTATTTGTGTTTGTGGTTTTTGACGTAAACTTAGGCTATTTATTTATCTATCTTTACTATTTTAAAATAGTAGAATACTTGGAAAACATTCTTTTTCAACTTTGTCTTTAAAAAATATAATTTTTTGTCCTCATCCTTCATATTTAATGTCTTTCAGACCCTAATTTCATTTATTCCCTAATTCTACTTGTTCCCTAATCCTCGCTGCCTTTCTCGCAACCTCTGCTCTTCCTTCCAACCGTTTCTCTCTCTCTCTCTCTCCTGAACGACTCTCACCCGTCTCTCTGCCTCTCCGTTTGCTACCTCTCTCAACTTGTTCTTCTTGCTTCTAAGGAACTCTTCAAATCCTTCTATACATTACTTTATCAACCTGCAATGAAACTTGAAGAATTTCAGGTCCTCATAAACCTAATTGTGTTAATTAGGGCATTGCACCTACCGTTATATACTTGCCTTAAATTCCACCACCTTCCGCCAAAACTAATGTCACCCATTCATCTCCTTCTTTTTATCTGCTGATTTTCTAAGCCTAATCTCTCATATCTCGGCTGTTCAGATTCCAAACATTAATGGCACCAGCAATGGCTACTTAAGTTACGAATGAGTATCTCACAGATGCCGACCCAATGGTGTTGTTTTTCCAACAGTTTTTGCATCTTCCTTCTGCTCCCTTGCTCTCTCAGACGCAGACAAATTATTGTCGAACCCGTGGAGCTTTGTTTCTTCTTCAACAAGTACTCCGCTTCTCTTTTCTTATAGTATTTCTCTGTTTTTCTATTTGTTTTTGGTTGATGATTGATTTATTCGGTTTGTTGTATTTGTTGTTGGGAATCTATTCCACGATTTTTTTTTATCCTGTGAAGTATAAATTACAATAGTAGCCACATTTGAGTTATGATTTAAAGTAAATCCAAAGTCCACTCATTCTCTGAAAGTGCCTGCTCAATCTAATAATCTCAAACAACGATGCAAAGATCAAATATCTAAGCAAAAATAAAATAGCACAGCCACAACCTCAATTAATCTTATCATTTTTGTCTCCACCAATGCACCCTATTAATTAGCTAATTCATGTGTCATATTTCTGCTTTTGACACATTCTTGTATAATTATTCTAAGTATAAGTATATCCTGTTGAAGCAACAGGGTGCTATAGATTACAGAACACGGTCAATAATATTGATTCTTAAAATGGACATTCCTTTTTTTTGTTTTTGTCAAGGTAGATTGTCTTGATGCTTTGTTCAATGTTTTCGCACCTATTAAACTTTTGAACATGGATAGCATAAACACATACTATACAAAACACCTAGATTTTCTTTGTTTTAGTTATGAAAGTTTTCATTTAGAACTAGATTTTTACACTGGAATTTTAAAATTTTCTATCATGGATTAAATTGTTTTGCTATATTGCTTGAATTTAAGTTTGCTTGCTTTATGATTGGTTGAAGTTTTACCAGATAATGTCAATTAAATGTTGTTCTATTCAATTTGATTTATACATTTGGAATTTTTCAATTATGTATGACATTTGGATTATAGTACTTCAGTGGATAGGACCATGAGATGGGTTAAATTGTTCATATATCAAAGTTTGATTGATAGACTTGTGATAATTTGATTTTTTTTAATTTGTTCTATTTATATTGAATATTTGTGGTCCTTACAACTTGTATGTTAATGACTTAATGATGAAGTGTTGAGTTTGAGTCTAAGTAAACAAATTGGTTATTGAATTCAGAAATTTTTTTTTATGATATCTTTATTGTTGGGAGTTTTCATTTTTGCTCGGTGAAGGTGTTCTTATTCATAATTTTTAATATTGTGATGTAAACTTATGGTAATCAGATTTTCTAGAGCCATTTCATGGATCTATCTGTGTCTAACACAAAAATGCAGCCTTCTAAGAGTTTGTATGAGAAAAGGCCCCTCAAAGTTTTTGTCACTCAATATTTTCTTCCCCTCAATCCAATTTTCAAATTAGTAAACAGTCAGATAGCCTCTCTTTTTTTATTGTTAGTTTCTATCAGATCCTTAGTTTGACTTTTGATACAAAGCACTTTAATAATTAGTTTCCATCAGATCCTTAGTTTGACTTTTGGTCCAACGTGACTTAAAAAATAAGAGAGAGTTGTTTCTTTATATTCGTATCAGTCTATTAATTGAAGTTCTTGATTTAAAATTGGTGCTAAGTTTCAAAATATGTTGTCACAGTTATGTGAAGCAAAGTTGTTAGAATGGTATTTCACAGTTGCTGCCTCTCCATGTCATCCACACAATGGTATATTTCTGGACCACTTTCTGATATTGTGTTGTGTCTTCCTTATCTTATGGTTGCCACAATCTGATCAAGGATTCAGTTTTGATCATTTTATTTCAATAGGTGGTTGAGCGGAATAACAATAATGTTTTTCATGGTCAGGTGACAATGGCGACCCTTATTTTTTATGTAATTTTTCAACATATTCATCTAAGGTATAAGTGCAATATTATATGAGTATAAATAATGATAAAGTATCATATTCATTTAATCTTGTTGGCACAACCAGTGAGATTATTGTAGATAATACATTTTGTAGGCATCTAATCTCGAGGCTATGAGTTAAGGTTGTAACTATTCTAACTTTTTTGTCAATGGGGATTCTAGCAGTAAATAGGAATTTTGTCATAATACGCCAGTCTAGAACTCTATATAACAATTGAGCAGAAAACAAGAGCACCCAACGCAATCACTCTATAAAAATGTACACGAGTATCCATATGAGTTCAATTCCAAATACCTCTTTTACTTCAAAGTTCATAAGTTCAGGGCTATTAATGTCAACCCATTTGTCCAATTTGGCTTCTGAAGGGTCTAACCTTTGGGTTGCTTATCAGGTTTTGGTATCATTTTGTGTGTATGTATTTACGTGTTGCTAATTTATTTTTGTAGGGTGTTTGCAATGCCTACGGTGAGTCAAGGATTGAGAAACAGTTCATTGCAAACAATTTGACATTCTAAAAAATGTGGCATGGTGCCTATTTAAATCCAGTACTCTACCGATTTTTCACAATATATCAAATGAGAATAAGCCAATTCATATTTTCCCTTCTATCCTTTTTATCGCATTACCTTCTCATCATAGATCACCAGGACTACAACTATAACCAATTAGCTCCTTTTTTTTTTTTGTAGTTTTTGAACCACATCAACACAGTTTCTTATTAAAATTCCTAATGTAATTTTACTGCGCTTGGTTGTTTTTATGCAATAAGAGCTAAAAAGTCTTGTGTCGGTACCTCATTCTCTCCTGAATATATTTAATTTTCTCATGGAAATGGCCTATACATGGAGGTTAAATGTAAGGGGAGTCTTGAAATTAAAACTATATTGTTTCTATGTTGTTTTTGACATCACATTTTGTTAGATCAGTTGCTTGTTTATGCCCTATCAAATTGCAACTGGAGAAATTAAAAATGCGCATTGTTAAGATTTCTGGTCTTATTATATGTTACTGTTGTTAAAGTAGTAATGTATGCAAGTTTCTTTTACACAACACATTGATTTTGTAAGAGTCTTTGATCATTTCTCTTTTTTTTGCGTGGATACTCACTTGATGATGGTATTTGCAACTTGCAATGTGTTATCTCCAGTTTTCAACTTGATACTACTAAGATATTATGTGGCAATGAAATGGATGATGTAGCATTGTCTATGTCACTGCGTTAGTCACTTTGGATTGGGAAGTATGCGCACTAAAGGCCAATTAGTTTGGCATCTCCTAATTTTGGACCTAAACACCACTCCATATGTTTAGATCTAGCCTTTTGCATTTATGAGGGGTCCAAAGCATTTCAAATTCTTATAGTTTACACCAAAGCAGCGAGCGAGCTGGCGTATGCATTTAGAAGCTTATATATAGAGTGTTCCATTGGTTTGAACAACTTCTGTCTAGCCTCTGCACTTATTCTTCTTATTTCATTTTCTACACCTTTGTTTTCAAAAACTAGGACATATCTCAAAATTATCAATTTCTATTAGTTCTTGTGGTACTTTGATGTTGAATTTGTAACTTAGGAGATTTCGATACCAGGGCTCAATCCAATTAGTCCATAGGGCCAATTTACCATATCACCCCACCCTGGTTTTGTTTTGAGATGAGAATCTTATTGTGAATATATTATTATAAATTAGTCCTGTGCGTAACATTGTTTTGCTTACAATAGTTGGTCAACCCTTTTAAGGTAGTTTCCTTTTTTTGGGGGGTGATATCTTCTTTCCACCGATTCAAGACACAATAAAATGAATAGTAAATTTTTTAGTGTGTTTAAACTAGAAATATGTTACACTTTTCATACCTAATTAGTAATTACAATATATGCTATTTTGAGGGGTAGAGTCCAAACCATGTTTCACCAGTCCAATCGAGTCTATGGGTTCAATGTGCCCCTTTCAAGAGTTAGGACTTTTTGTAGGCCATTACATACTATGCACGTGTATTATGTGGGAAACATTTGAGATTTACCCAGGATACAAGCATATGGAGATTTTGTTTTTCTTTTTTTTTTCCCCATGTTGGGTCACTCTTGAAAGAGTGATCTCAAATAACCAAGTGCTATAAGTAGGCCACTCTTGATTTTTCAAAAAAAAACTTTGTAATTGTAGTGTCTTTACTTGGAACAAAAGGGAAATTAAAGGTTAGATAGAAAATCATTACTTAAGCAAGGAGAAATTAAAGGTTTACAGTAAGGCATTAAAATGACTTTTATACAGGATACACTTGATTGTATAGAGATGTCATTCCAATTTTTTCAACACATTTAAGTTAAGAGTTAAGATTTTGTCTTTCAAAAACTACATTCTTATTATTGATGAGTGACCAATTCATTAAAGCTTAGAGTAAGGCATTGTCCATATTTTGCCAGTGGACTTTCCATGATAAGAAATATATCATTAAAAAGATGATATGCTTGCAAATTTTCCAAATGCAACTCATATGTTGCTTGTAAATTGTCCACATGCAACGCACGTGTGCATTAACTAGTACTACTTTAAAATGTCAAGATATATGAAAAACTTTATTTGGACACTTTTGTCCTCCAAAATTTTAAAAATGTTAAGATCATCATTGAAATTGGAATAACAAACACTTGTGGCAATGATCATATCAAATGAGTCATTAAATATTTCGCATTCATTATTATTGTATTTGCTTAGCGTATATATATCACTCAAATAAATCTTATAATATCAAAAATATTATATCAACTCTTCATCTCCCAATATTTTCATGTTATTATTAACTCTGTCATTGAGATAGGATAAGCAAACATAACAACAAACTAAGTTTAAACATCAAGCTTTAGATTTATATGATACTGACATAACAACAAATTTATATAATATCGCTTAAGAAACACCGACTAAAGAAAAGCAGCAAACTAAGGTTATGAGAAACCAACACCACCAGCTAAGGTTATGAGCAACAAACTAAGGTTATGAGAAACCAACACCACTAACGCTAAATACCACTCAACTAATCCACAACATAAATATTCTCCAACCAACTCGGTAAATTCATGCCTTGCAAAGATCCACCTATTGAAAACAAAATTCCACATCACAAACTAATGTTCCTAAAATCTTGCCTTTATTGAAAAATCCACTGCATGCCTTTCAATATTTTTATAAAACAATCATAAGATGAACTTGCTTAACATAAGGACAGAGGGGCAAATGGTAAATCATGTATATAGAGAGGCAAATGGTATTGCTGACTTCTTAGCTTCATATGCTGTTCGGACTGGGAGTTCTACTGCTTTTTCTGTTAGTAGAGTACTGCCAGCAGCTGGAAGGGTGTTATTACTCCGGGACCAGTCCAGGTTGCCTAATGCAAGGATCAGGCAGAGTGTGGTCTGTGATCAGAAGGAATGAGGCTGATTTTGCAGAATGCCAGCACTCAGAAGGCATGATCTGCAGCAGATGGTTAGAGAGCATGCTGCCAAGTGCAAGGATGAGGGAGTGGATTACTATCGCAGCTGGAAGGTAGCAGGAACAATGCAGGACACAAAGTTTACGCAGGCAGTGATCTGGGATCAGAGCATGGGGCTGTCTCTGCTTTGTTTTCTGAAGAATGTGCAGATGATTGGAGAGTGCTGTCAGACTGGACTGCGGATTGGAGACTGATGTCAGGCTGTGTGGTGGAGGAGTGATTGAAAGAGGCCTTAACAGCAGTTTTGTCTATTTTTTGTAACAGAACAGAATTTCTGTTATGAAACAGAAAATCAGTTTCTAAACAGTTTTCTGTTTTTTTGCTTGTTAAAACAAATTTTTTTTCTGTTTTTGATTCTTGTAATTCCTGAATTTCATTCAATAAAATTTTTCCTTTTCTCAAAAAAAAAAAAAAAAAAATATATATATATATATATATATATATATATCAAACATATTTTGGCTCAAAAAAATAAAAAAGACAGAGATATAGAGATGGATGGCATACCAATTCAAACACAAAAGAAAATATATATAGTGTCAAGTACCGCAAAATAAAGTAAACTGTCAATATGAAATACAAAGCTTGTGTTCCACATGAAAATTTTAAATTATGTCATTTGATTTAGCAAAAAATAAATTGCAGAACAAAGAAAGGAAAATTTAGAGAAAAGAGAGCAGGACAATGCCAATCTTCGATGTCGGCCAGATCCTCAACAAATTTGTCAAGATGTTAAATATATCACAGTACCTGAAAGAGTACACAAACTTTGAGACCTTAACTTTGTGAGGTAATACCTTAAAATGCAAGATATATATGCAGAAATGTGACAAAGAATAGAGTCATATAAGGTGTTCCAATCCTTTTATATTTTATTGAACAATGAACAACAATTTTTTGTTAGGCAGTAATTGAGTTCATTTTTAGTGCCGCTTTCCCAATTGCAGAACTAAGACATTATGAGAGTGAAGAGAAAGCCCAATAAGCAATTTCATTTTCTTCCACAAACAAATAAAACATAGAGTTAAGTTTAAGAACACCTTCTTTTTCCATGCCTCTACCCATAAATGATCTAAGACAACATACAAATCATTCAAGTCAAGTCTTTAAACACCCTAAAAATTCAATCTTCCTCTTTAATAACAAGTTTACACCAAAACCCATCTCCTAATTTTATCAGCTAGAATTTCTCTCACGCAGCTTCTAACAGTGTCATCTAACTGTAAGATAGGTTCATCATGGAAAGTAAAATTTATAACCTCCAATGAATCATCTTTTCCCAAATCAGATTCATCATTGGATTGGATATGATTATCAACTTCACCATTAACACATGAAACATAGCATTTCTCTGCACCAACAAGATGTTCGACAAAATGCCCTGCAACACGTTACAATTTTTTTTTTTTTTTTGCGCATGTTACTATTTTTTTTTGCACATGTTACTACTTTTTTGGATGATTGGCGAAATTTCGATTTAGTTGGATGTGTATTTTTGTGAAGAAGATGACGTTGTAGCAGTACAATTTTTTTTCCATGTTATTATTTTTGTTTTGTTGGGCTTGTTCATATTACTACTTTTTTTTCTTGTTAATATTTTTTATTAAATATGTTACTATTTTTTTTTTGATAAGCTTGTTACTGTTAATATTGAATATTACTATTTTTTTTCAAATATTAATATACAATATTACTATTTTTTATTTTTTGAATGTTACTATGCATTTGTGTTTTAATTGTACTATTTTTTGTGTTTGAATGTTGTTATTTTTTGTGTTTAATGTTAATATTAAATATTACTATTTTTTTGAAATATCAATATTAAATGTTACTATTATTTTTATGTTACTATTGTTTATTTTTTAATGATAATATTTTTTGTATTTAAATGGTATTATTTTGTGTTTAAATAATATTTTTTTTTAATATTTGAATGTTACTATTTTTTATTTTTAATGTTACTATATATATATATATATATATGAGAGAGAAAGATATATATAATCTTAACATATATATGAATATAGATAGACATGAGAGAGACAAGTTTTTCATGTTAGTCAAACTTTTAAAATTTAGGAATTTTTAATTTTTAGTTTTACTTTATTTCTAAAGAGAAAGGATAATTTAGTAAAATTGATAAAAAACGGATTTCATAACAAATAAATTTTTTTGATGACTTAAGTTTAAACAAGTCCGTATAAGAAGATCAGCCTCCAAATTTTTCTATTAATATAACCAACTATATGTAATGTCCGATTGGTTCTATTAGACCCACACCATAAAGCTCAATGAAAGGTCTTTGACTCATGGGCTAACCTGATAAGTCAATGATCCACGGGATGGGTCTGTATGCCACATGATCACTTGTGATCATCCTAACAGCCCAATAGAATAGGCTATGGGTCAATTTTTTGGCCCACTAGGCCTGCTTCCTACCAGAATGGCCTGTCAAGGGCCCGTTGATTAAACAAGGAGTGCTAGCTTAAACATTTGCATATCATCTCCTCTCTGATTCATTATGTCTGTGGCATTTAATCTGATGCCACCTCTCCCTCTCTCTTGGAAGGTAGAGCTTTTATTCATTCAAAAATAAATAAATAATTTAATATAAATAGCTCAAAACAGCCAAAGGAGCACAAGGGACGGGAATATGCTCACTCATAAAGGCAAGTTGCTTAATGGCGGAGAAATAACCTAATCTACTTGAAACAACACATTAGACTAATCAAAACAAAATACCCAAGTTGGGTACCGGAGAAAAACCAAACAAAGTGGAAAAGTGTCGCATTAACTTCGGCCCATCCCAAATAAACCAGTACAGAGCCCGTTGGGCCAAAGTGGGGTTGGGGTTAAGAGTATTGCAAGTATTAGTGGGGATGCGCATTTGAGCCGAATGTGATTTGTTTATTTCCTTCAATTTGGTCTCAAGAATTAGGAAGCCTTATTAACCCTTTTAAAATAGAGAGTTCATATCATAATCAAGTGTTGGAGGTCAACAAGCCTTTGCGCAATGATAAATTGATTCAGTTTGTAACTTGGACATTACAAATTTGAATTAAACTACTTCGTTCCATGAGGTGTAAGAATCTGCACATCGGGACCTTTTCCACATTTTTTTCCAATATCCTGGGCACCAACATTAAAATCATTTTCATTTAATTCACTACCAAATAACAATGTGGGCCTGCTGCTACCACCTCTAGGGCATGTTTGGATGATTTTGAAATGGGGGGATTGGATTGCGTTTAACAAATCCTTCCAAACTCAAACTCAAACCCTCTTTTTGGAGATGAGATTCATACATAAATCACATTCAATCCTTTATTTGCTAAGTAACATAAACACATGTGGGATTCACAGATTAACACAATTATAACCAAACATTTTTCATGTAATTAACTAAATTGCTCTATACAATCTTTTGTTGTTAGGTAGATTATGGATACAAAGATTTTTTAGCATTATGTCCTAGGTTGGCTATTTTCAAACCCACCTCCCCTATGGATTTGTTGAAACTCATATTTATGGGTCTATCCTTTTGAGCCAGTTACGGGCCAAGATCTGAATCTCGGACTATTTTACTTAAACTCACACGTACATACCCTCCCAAACCTAATAAACAACCAATCCTTTATGTTCCAAATATGATACTAAAAAATAATTTATTCAGATCATATTTGTTTTATTTAAGCAATAAGAATATCAAATGGACCCATTGCTCTGCTTTCTGGTCTACATCCGCGACCACTTAGCTTGGTGCTCCATTTTTTCGTTGTGGCTATCTATGGGGTTGGCAGCCTTTTACTTCCGTTTCCTTCACCTAATCGTGCATGGATTGGTGCAAGACTGATTTCTATATTGAAATCTCCATTTCTCCAAATATAGAATTTAATAACCTTACTCTGGTTTATGCATGTCTTCCTTCTTGTGTACGATTTTCACTACTAATCCACTTACTGATCTTTCAGGTTTATGTCAACAAGAATGGGCAAGAATTGACCGGTCAAATTGCTTACAGAAATTACAAAAAGGTATTCTCTTATAATATTTATTTTCTGCTAGCAGGAGAGAGGAGCAGGATTTAAAAGATCAAAAAAGAAAACTGCCGCCAAGAAGAAGAGAGAATAAGAATGTGCACGATGTACTCCTGCTGTTTCATAGCGGTGTTGAAAATATCATCTCTTTATATGTTTGTTGATGTCATTACTAAACTAGTTGGGGCTTTGTGTGGTCAATGCAGAGTTCAGACTTAGATAATTCTAGAAAATTATTTTCTTCTCTCTTTTAAAGCCTTGATGTCGAAATGATACGTGTTGAAATTGGATCTTAATTCTGAGGTTCAGATTGAAAAAGAAACCACCACAAACCTATTAGGTAGAAAGAAAACATATTTGGAGGGCATCAATATTTAGATGTTTGCTGCTCTGTCATGGCTTGAATATATATATTTTTTTAAATTTCCAAGTACTTGGTCGATTTCACTTCAATGTTGCTTGCTTTGATTCATTGCTCAACTTTTGTATGACAGTTCACAAATTCTTCTTAGAATTGCAACACCATGGAAAAGAAGAGTAGGAAAAGGAAGATTGTCCTTGTATCTGAATAGAGTTCTTCCGAGACGTGAAGACATTTGGAAGTCAAGCCTTTGCAAACGTTTTTCTTGTTGTATCCCCGTTTTTTTTTTATTTATAGAATTTTTAGGGTTTGTCAGTTGTCGCGATGGGATGTCTTGTTTTGGATGGATTACAATTAACGAGATTTGAGCTAACTTTGATAAAACGTGAGATGTATGTGTGTTTATTTTCTTGAGAGAGAGATGATGTATGAGATTTCCAGCTGGTGGTGAAGACAGTGTTGGTCTTCCCTTTGTAATAGAGGCACAATGCAATGTATTCATGTTGGTGCTTTCACATCAGAAATCACCAACATGAATACAAAAGAAAGATTGAATTGCTTATAAAAACAGAACGAATCACTTTTATTCTCAGGCAAGAAAAAAGATAAAAAAAAAAATGAAATGTTGTTTAAATGTTGTTTTGAAGTTAACCTAGATCTTTGGCCCCAGCCAATGAGTCATTATTCCAAAAAAAAAAAAAATGGGACATAAAAACGAAAGTAGGTATACAAATATAGACTTATTTGAGTAAAAAGATATCAATGAAAATTTATATTGGGTGATGAAAAAAAACTAAAAATTCATTCTGTAAGAGTAACTCTTGTAACAATTGATTTTTCAAAATAATGATATCACAATTTGGATTGAACACTTCGGTTATCATGGAGCTCCCAAAATCCAGACAAATACACCCAAAAATTAGGCAATTTCTTTCCACGTTCTTCATCTTTTTGAATTTGGAAATATTATAGCA